AATATACTAAAAGTTGGATCGATGAGCCTATCAATATCATATTTATTTAATGTTCTGATCTATATAATCTATTACTGTGTAGCTCATTCAATTCAGTAACAATCCTGGTCATTGAATCCAAAAGGATATGCCGTAACCATGTTTTTAATCCACTGTAACTCCTTATCTTTTAATTATTCTCCAACATTATCATACCCTTCCACATGATCCAAAGACGTATTCCCTCCGGATACTATATATTCTATATTCTGCTATCTATTCTATAATTTATACTATTCTATATGTTCTTTCTCTTGTAGACCATTAGAGCACTAATGAGGAAATATCGATGTTTGTTAGAAATCCAACGGTTCCGTTTTGTTCGTATTAGAATAAGGTTTGGAAGGAAGATGAGATGAAAAACATTGGAATTTCATCTCTCGAGGCACACCATCCATGCAAACTTTCACTGATTTCAACTATTCTCCAATGTATGTAGCGAATGTGGGCTCCGATTTCGAAGTCAGGCAATCTCGGGTATATCGCCTTGCTTACTGAAAAAAGACCTTTGAAAAAGCTTTGGTGATACCAAACTTCACATTTCCTATTCCTATCAAATCTACATTTTCTAGTTGGTTGTTGCAGGGGGATGTTGCTTTGGTTAACACTTTGTGTATTTGCTAGAGCTGTTGTCGGACAAACGGAATCCGACGGCAGCGCAAACATAACATTTCCTATCCTGAGCGAAGAAGAATCACAAGCAGTGGCAGCTGTGGGTATACTGTTTTCTTACTCCAACGATTGATATAAAGCTCAAAAAAGGTGCAGCTCCTTTCCTGCAAAATGAATTTTTAGACCATGAGAATCATCTGCGATACCTCATTGACAAAGGCACAAAAGATGGAAAGAATCAAAACGGTGTTAGCTGATGAAAAAGAGGAAAACGCGGTAGGAATATCAGAATTTTGCCATTTCTATTTCAAAAAAGCTGTTTCAAAGGAAGAGACGAAAGAAGTTGAAAAGGTTGTCGACCTCTTCGAGTTTTTGGCAAGCCAGGTAAAGGAAGGCAGTCCACAGGTTAGTTTAAGGGTATCTGTGATAAAGCAAATATTGCACTAATTTTCTTATAATACAGTGTGCCTCAGAATAATGTGCCTACTTTGATTGTTTATAATTCTTTAATCTTCAAATTTCTGTTTACTGATTCATTTTGAAGGGTCGCTTGAACTTAGATTCTCCTCTTACAAGGTGTATGCTTTTTTTTCGCTTACGA